GGAAAGGGACATAAGGGATGAAAGTAAAGCCCATGATATGCGAGGAAGTGAAACAAGCACATATGTACATCTTGAATAACACCAATGAAGTTCAGGATTACTTAATCGCACATCAAGAGGAATTAAAGGTTTATAATCCTAAAAAGACCGAGAAATGGTTGCTAAGTGAGCACAACAAACGTTTCATACTCTAGTTTAGGGCAAACGTAAAGGAGGATTAGGAAAAGTCTAATGTTTTTGATACATTAAGGTGGTTGGCTAGTAGTCCTAACTTTAATGTCAAAACAAGGATTGGATATGACATTAATATATATTCATTTTATATAAAAGATCAAGATAGCAATAGCACTATGCAAAATAGTAGGGTGACAGTAATAGCCGAAGCAATATGTTTTTCTAGTTCGAAAGATAAAAATCCAACATTAGCATCTAGGTCATACTTTGGAGTCATTGATGAAATATGGGAATTTGATTACTTCAAATTTAAGGTGTCCATTTTCAAGTATAGGTGGATTGACCTTAATAAGGCAAGTCATAATAAGGAACCTTTTATTATGGCTACTCATGCAAGACAAGTTTTTTATGTCACTAATGCAACAGATAAAAATTTTTCTGTAGTTCTATTAGGAAAAAGTCTCCTTACTCATGATGAGAATGATGAATCAAGTTTTGATATTGATGAGATTTCACCTTTTATGTTGGCCCAACCTGTGTTACATGTTAAAGATGAAGAAGATAACATATATAATGTGAAAACTAATCATGATGAAGGTTTATAGGAGATTAAAATACAGTTATAATGGTAATTAATATTATAGTGTTAGAATAGTATTTTCTTTCTTTATACTTTTATTTTTACAAAAGTTTAATTAAATTTATTTTTTTATACTAATTTTATTATCTTATTTGTTTTAAGAGTAATATAGAGAATGTATCTAGCACCTCTACTGATAAAGACAAGCCTAAGAAAAGTAGAAGAGGAGTCACACAACTTACTAAGTTGGCCTAAATTGATAGGAAGATTCACCTTGATTTTGATGAGATAGGCTTGATAGAAAAAAAAGGAAATCTTTTTAAAACTTATGTCGGACTTGTAGCACGTCAAAAGATTAGCATCCTAGAGGATGAATGAGATAATGTAAAAGAAAGTGAAAGAGTTAAAGTTTGGGACACTCTACAAGTACATTTTTAATTGTTAGTAAATTCATAAATACTTTTTAAGGTTATTATATTCATATCATATCTTTTTTTCTATTGTATTGAATTATTATTTGTTACTAAACACATTATTGGTATTTATTATTTGTAGATTACTTATGACATGCCTGACACTTTCGAGCACAAGTTGCTTTCATATGCTGCAAGCTGATGAAGGGATTTCAAATCCAAATGTACTAGAGATTACGTGTTTCTCAAGGTTGATGGTGAAAATGAAGATGGCAGGACAATGATACTAATAAACAACAACCATATGATAAGTATCCTTTCATTGATTATGAAAAAAAATTTGTTGAGAGTAGATATGATCCCAAATTTTTTGTAAGTGAAAGAAAAATAGATATTCAATTGTTATTATTAAATTTTTATTTTTAATAAATACTTCTTATTGTTTTTTAATAGAAAAAAAGTAAAAAGGGTCAAGAGCGTCACAAGAAAAACCCATACAATCATACCATATCTCAAGAAGGATACAAACATGTTTACAATACAATACTTTAAGAGAAGTAAGAAGCTAAAAAACAAGTAGCAGGGGTTAATGATATTAGAGATATTTCCCCTCCATCTCCAATTAGTCATGCTGAGGTGTGGAAGAGAGGGCGAATGAATAAAAAGGGATAATTTATTACTACTGAATCTAGAGAAGTGGCTGCGAAGATTGTAAGTATATTTCAATAGTTACATCTAGATTATAAGATTTAAATATACTAATTGCATTGGTTGCTTGCATGTTATTAGATTCTCTTACAGGAGCAACCTCTTAGGGGACCTTTAATCAACTGGCAGAAGGATATATTGACCACAGCCTTGGGAAGTGAAGAGCATCACGGTTGTGTTAGAGGAGTTCCAAAAGGTATGAGTATAATACAATATTTTAGACTACTACCCTCTAATAGTGTACCGATATACCTAGTGGAAAAGATGATAGCAGAATGCAAATCAAGCTTGATGATAGAAATGCAATCAATAATCAGTTCCATGCATATGCAATCTCAACAAGCACAAAAATATGGTGGTGTTCCACAGCCAAAATATGATCCTAACCTTTCAGATCAAAGATTGTTGTGTATAATTTACTTGGAAGATACTATAAAACATATTGCATATGAAAAAGTGTATAACTATTCAACTATAGTCCACCACCATCAACTACAAGATAATCAAGTAAAGATCATTATTGAAATGGTCATGGATGCTAATGCTTCTGTGCTATTTCCTACTAAGGATGTGCGAATAGTAGGACAAGCTCAATAGACTTTTATTATTTGGTTGAGAAGGCTTGTTCAACAAGTTATTGAAGAGGTATGAAAATTTTATAATTTTAAATATTTCTTAATTAATATGGTAGATGTTTCTAATTTTGATTATCTATTAATTAGGAACTTCAACAATCAAAAGAATCACCAGGTTCCAATCTCCAACCAGTTTGAGATGACTTGAAATAGTTAGCTTTCATGATTGTTGACATGAATGAATTTACTGATGAAATACAAGTAAATGAGGAAATTGTTAGGAAGGATATTACTTTTCAAGTCACCAGAAATGATATTAATGCTCTCATTATTATGGAGTGGTTGGATGTATCAATAATATAAGTTTTTATCAAAGGTTCCTCAACAAAATGTGCATCCAATTTGATGTCAGTCGTTATTATGGATTCTTATCTCCACTCTTAACATTAGTTGGAAAACCAAATCAAAAAGTATTTTATATTGGAAGTATAATGAATAAGTTAAAGAAGAGGTATTTTTTTTTGTACCAATTGTTGAAAGGTATGAAACATCCTATTCATCTCTCTATTTATAAAATATTTGCATAATTATGTGATATTAATATAAACTAATATTTTGTAGCAATCATTGGATGCTTCCCATAATTTGTCTCTGTGAAAATACTATATATTGGTTCTGTTCATTACAATGGGAAGTAAGCGATGAAATGAAGTCATTATTTGAATTGTAAGTATCTTGAATAATTATTTTGTAATATTAATAGCATCTTTTCAACATATTCTAAGTATGTATATTTGAAAAATAGATCTTTACATTGTTATGAGAGGTTGGGGGATATAGTTGACAAGAAAAAAAAATGAAATCAAGTGGCTGCCTGTATAAATAAGCATTTTAAATTCTTTCCCAAATTTTAATAAAGATTATAATATTTGATTTGATGATTTGAATTGGTTTTAATTTTTTTAACATTGTGCTTGACAATAAAGAAGTGTAGAGTGTGGTTATTATGTGATGATTTTCATGTATGAAATCATCACTCAAGACATTATCCACTCATTTGAGAACGTAATAATTTGTTAAAAATAATTTAGATTTTACACTTTACCCTATACTTGAATTAATATGCATGCACATATTTTTATTTATATACAGTATTTTAATAGTTTAGAGCTATTTTTCAAACAAAAGCTAAGACATATACAGAATATATGGTCTACTTACTTTTTAGAGTTGATAAGTTAGAGTAGATAATTAGATAAATGTTTGTATTGGATATGTAGAAATTTCAATAGATATGTTTGTAATTGTCTCTGGGCTGTTGTTTATGTATAAATGTTGGCTTTTGTAAGTAAGGGATTGAAAGAATACCAAATACGCACTCTTTTTTTAAAAAAATTGCACATACCGCGATAATTGTGTATTGAACTGTGGTAAAATATAACATTTCACAATAGTTATCACCAGAATTGTCACGAAAAGATAAACTTTTCATGACAGCTCTTACTCAAACTGTCACAAAAAGTTTAATTTTCATGATCGTTTTGGTGATAACAGTCACGAAAAATTCCCACAATAGCCTATTTCCAGACTATTTTTCACAACAGATGTTATTATAAGTGTCATGATACAAGTACAATGACAGTTGTATTAATAACTGTCATGGTAAGTTAATGCTTTTCTCCACAGTCCTTATGAGACTGTTACGAAAGGTGTCAACTTACAACTACACCTATTTTTACTACACTGCTTCTTATGTCACGAAAGTTAGTTTTCAACTATCGTGAAATATGCTTTTTGCACTATTGAAAGTCTTCATGATAAATGACAGGTGCTTGAAACACCCATCATTTATTGTTTGAATTTTTTTCTTTTTGGAAAAACTAGATTTTAAACATTATATGATGGGTTTCAAAACACCCGTCATTTATTTGAAAATAATAAATGATGGTTGTGTGAAAAACCCATCATTTATTTGAAAATAATAAATGATAGGTGTGTGAAAAACCTGCCATTTATTTCCTGACCATCACTCCCGTTCTCATATATGACGTATTTTCTTTTAACCATCATTTTTGTTGGCATCTTATATCGAAACTTTTGTAGTAGAATCAGTTTTAATCATCATAACATTACTGAGTCATCAATAGGCAATACGTATTCCAATTTCAATCCGGTCCCCAATTACTGCTGGCGTGAAAGTGTTTTGATAAACCTAATTAAATTTTGACGAGGAACGACAGTGCCCCTTATTTTCCATAAATAATTAGAAAGTAACATCAGACATTACTCATTAATTACTTCGCTAATTCATTATATAGACCACATCGATTTTTCATTTTCCAAAAATGCAGACCGCTTCATATAAATTATATACAAAATGATTCAAAACAACCTAATAATTTTAAAAATATTGCAGTTATTTGAATAAAGGTTAAAATTAATATTTAGTTTGGATTAACTAATAATTTTTATTAGAGTGTGGCGATTTTCTTGCATGTTTAAATGAACCAATAAGATGTGGAACGTAATATTATTCTTCTAACTATCAAATTACAAACAACCAATTTCTATGTATATATAATTCCATAATTTTATACTATTGTTATAAGAGATACATTGAAGGATATAACACACGCAGTTTCTAGGGGTTCCTAAGGACTTAAGGAGGCAAGAAACCATGAAAATAATTTACTGAAGGGAAAAAAATACTAATTAATTATTAGTTGAAAGGATGTATAATATTTTTACCTTGCCACAAATATTTTTCATTCAAATGCTAAATTTGAGACAGTCCTTGTAGATGAACCATCTTCACCAAGTGCTCTAAGAGCAGCATCCTTTAACGCTTGAATTCTTCTTCGAAGTTCTGTGCCTTCATCACCTTCCATTGCTATTTTCACAACTCTAGCAACTTCTTTTCTCTCTACAATCCCATTATTATTCTCATCATCTTTTGGCCTCAACGCAACCTTAAATTGCTCAGTTAGCATCACTGCGTTCATTCTCTGATCTGCAAATAATGGCCATGCGATCATTGACTTTCCATAGAAAATAGCCTCAAGTATTGAGTTCCAGCCACAGTGAGTCAAGAACCCACCAATAGACTCGTGTCTCAAAATCTCAATTTGTGGGGCCCATGATGGGACCACAAAACCTTCACCCTTGGTTCTCTCAATGAACCCTTCTGGCAAGTAGTCAAGAGGGTCATTCTTTTTTTGTGTAGTCAAATAAGCTGAACAAGCATCCCCACTTGGAGCCCTCACGACCCATAAGAACTTGTGGCCACTCATCTCTAACCCTAAGGCAAGTTCGTGAAGCTGGTCCTGTGACAATGTTCCACCACTCCCAAAACTAACATACAACACAGAGTCTTTAGGTTGACTGTCTAACCACATTAAACACTCCGAAGCTGGCATGTTTATGTGCTTAGACTCGGTCCGCAAAATAGGACCCACAGGATAAATATGAGGGAATTTAGAATTACTTTGTTGTAGAGCTATTATTGGCTCTGGTTCAAAATCTAGAAAGCTGTTCACTATGATACCATCTGCTAAACGAAGTCGTTTGAACATGTGAAGGACTGTTTTGTACGTTTCACAAGATCTTTCAAGATCAGGTCCTGGAAGATCCTTACCTCGAAAACTTATGCAACCTGCAAGAAATTTAAGAACTTAATATTCTCTAACCCTCTAAATTCACAAAAAAAATCTAAGTAACATATATCCAAAAAAAAAAAGCTTCGCAACCTGGAAGCTCCAGAGGTTGTGATAACTCTCGGAATCCACCAGTAGGAACCATAAGCTCGGGAAGATGGAGGGAAAATGACAGTAAAGTAGCCGAGGAAAAATAAAAAACATACGACTTGAGGTTGAGGGAGGTTGAGGTTGAATTGCTTTGCAATGTCCAATGCATCAATAGAGAATGGATCGACAACCATAGCGACAAGACGTGTCTGAGAACTGAAAGAGCTCAAAGCTTTATGAAGAGATTGAAGAGAGAGTATAACAGTGCGGTGGATCTGTGTTGCAGAGTCGAATCCTTTGAGTTCATCGGCATTGACATGTGGAAGAACAGTGAAGTGTATATGTGGTGGGAGAGATTCGAAGATGGAGAGCGTAGATGGAGAGGGAGGGCCAAGCGTGGGGATGAAGAAGGTGATGTGGAAGTGAGGGTGATGAACGACGAGTCGTTTTGAGAACTCAATGAGTGGGATGAGATGGCTGAAGCCTGGAGATGGAACCATGACGATGCAAGGGTTATTTCTCTCCATAGTAGAACGATACTTATGAGAGCACCGATTGTCTCTTGACTGATAATTTGTTTTTTTTTTTGGCCTTTTCCTATGGGTATATATAAAGGATTTTTCTTTTTTACAAAAAAAAGGAAGATTTTGTTGGAACTTGAAATTAACCAAGAAAGAAATTAGAAAATATGACAATAAAATTCATGTGAAATATATAAATTACAATTTTATCCATTTAAATGTCGTAATTTGTTTGAAGTTCCTAATGATTATCCTGTCATTAATAAATTTATATAAATTATCACATTAGTCCTGTTAAAAATAAATAACTCATAACTTTTCTTTTTATATTCGGAACTTTTCTTTTTATGATTGCAACAATGCAACAGCAAATAAGAAATTTAATATGTGAAGTTGTAATTTACTATTGTATTGTTGCGAATATAAAAAGAAAAGTTATAAATTATTTATTTTTAATAAGGATAATTTAATAATTTATATAAATTTATTAATGATAAAAAAGTCTCTAGAGACTTTAGAAAAAATTATAACATTTTAAGGAACTAACTTGTTATTTATATATTTCAGAAAGATTTTATTATTATTATTTTAATAAATTACTTCCTCCTATCCAAAATATTGGATGCTTTACAAAACTCAATAGCATTAAACTATTTTTTCAAAAAAATGCTCTTATTAAGTATATTGCAAACAATATTATATAAAAAAGAAATTAAAAATAATTAAGATAGACGGTAGTGATAATTTTATTGATGCAAATCAATTTTTAACTATTTTTCTTACTTTTTTTTTTGAGGTAGTTAAATTGTCTTACAGCCTGTTCATATAATCAATTTTTAAGGCAAAATAATTGATTTTAGAAAAAGTTATCCAAACAGTCAAAAAATTGAATAATTAATTATTAAGTTAAAATTACATTTTAAAATAAACTTTGAAAGATTGATTATAAATTTAATTTTATTATAATATTTTACTTCTTAAATAAAGTTTAACAAATTTGATATATCAAATATAACTTTATCAATAATTTAGGTTTAAAAAACAATATCTTTTATGATAATTTGTACAATAATTAATTTTAAAAAAATAATATCTAAATAAATTGTATTATAATATAATTAATTATAATCAAAATTAATCATATTAAATAATTATTTTTATAATTAATTATATTTAATTGAAATCCGGACGAGCCCTTATATTTTGAAATGTTTGGAATCCGTGGACCCATTAATTAAGTCGGAGGAATCATTAAAAGCTGGTGGAGCCACACATAAATGCACGCACCCACATTCTGGAGAAAAAAAGAATTAGTGGGCCAGATATGTCCTTAAACCACAACAAAAAAAATTTTATTCTAGGATTTTTTTCTCAAAATACGAGCAAAACTCTGAAAGCAATTGCTAGGAAAAATTGTGCCAATTATCGTCCGTAAAGATTTGTGCTGTCCATATCACGAAGGCTAGCTTCCACAAAAAATTAATTGCTTCAACATTTACTAAAGAAAAAGACAATTGCCCTACTGTGCATCAAAATGAATAGCGCATACCATATTGGCACTTCCTGCGTGGACTTATCCCACAAACAATCTATATGCTCCTCTTGTAACTTTTTATCAATGTGAGACTTCTATACTCTTCAACATTTCCTTATCTGCCCACTACTTATTGTTCAATTTTCTATTTTACCTGAGCTTGTGTTCTTTGAGTAGAGGGCTCAAGTGTCATCATAACATTCCCTTTCTTGTGTGGGAATTAAGAAGGAAATTACATTAAGCTAAGGCCTATATTTTTCTGATCCAACGGTAAGAGGAGGGTAACCTAGAAACAAATATCCTAACGAGCATTGCATTTGGTGAAACGCATTAATAGAAAGAAAAACATGAACATGATGAAGATAGTAACATTATAAAATTTAAGTAGGATTAATTAAGCAACTTAACAGGGGTAAAATAGTAAATTGATACTTGAGAGTTAATTTGGGTTTATTAAGTACAGCTTGTGGATGACCATTAGTCTAATTAATGGACCCTATATGGGATTAGGCCACATTGGGCACAAATTAATAGGCAAAAATTAGGGTTTCCATTTTTGTGCTATCCACTACCGCAGATGAGTTAGATTTTTAAATCCCAAACTTGCATTATAACTAGTAGAAATAGAAAGAGAGAAAGGAAAAAAAAAAGGGGGGGGGGGGAATTTGAGAGGAGGGCAATTTTTCTCTTCTACGGTCTGGAGCATCCGGCCATTGTTTTGTGGCTTTTAATCATTTGGGTAAGCTTCTCTCCTCCCTCTCCTATGCGTTTTTCAGTTACGTTGGTTCTTAGGGGTGGCTTGGTGGAGTCCAAAAATGGGGTGAGTTCTACCCAAGTTTCTAACTAATGTAATGAGTGTGTTTAATATTTATTTTAATTGACTAATATAACATCTTAATTTAAATTTTAAAAGTTAATTAAAGTTAATAGAAATTAGAGTGAACATTTAAGGATAATTAAATTAATTAGAAGATGATTATTGGGCTTAATATAAAATATAAGTTTGAGTTAAGATTTTTAGAAAATGAAAACATAATCATAATGAAGATGATAATGATGAGAAAGAAATATAGAAAAGTAAAAAAAAAAAAAAAATGTTGAGGAAGCCAGGCACGGAAAATTCATTGTGGGATGAGAGAGAGAGAGAGAGAGTAATAGGGAAAGAGACGTTGGATCGATCCATAGCCAACAATTTTAAATTCCATCAAAATGCAAAATTGTCCTTGTCATTTCTTCTTGTCTTCTCCAGCCAGACCCTGTGAGCGACAGTGGGCGAGAAAGTAGCTCGCCGGTGAGGAATTTTTGGAGCTAGGTTATATTATAAGATATTTTAGACATGATTTTAAACCTTTTTTTAAAATATAAGTGTTTTAAATATTTTTTAATCACATATTCTCTTTCATTTTTAATTTTAAGATGGTGAAAAACCTCAGCTTGGTAAATTTTGAGTTTTTAAATATTTCAATTGATTATTTAGTTTTTAATGGAGCTAATTAATGTTATTGGAATAAGAGTTTTTTATGGTTTAGATTTTCCCAAATAATTAATTTGAAAAATTAAAGCTAGATTTTAATTGAGAAAATTTTGAGTTATGATTTTGATAGTGACATGTTTCGAACTTAATGATTTATTCTGGGTTAGTGAAGGTTATAATAAAGATTAAATGGATTGGTTTTGAGGTTTATGATTGGATATTATTTAAAACAAAAAACAACTCTAACAGGAATTGTCATGAATTGGCAAGGCATATAAATAATTTCATGCAAATGATGTGTAATTAGGGTAAGACAAGAAGATAATAGCCCTAGCTATCTCAACCCTTTTCTCATAAAGGGAAAGCGGTGGGCAAGCTTCTAAACCTTGATTCAACTACAAATCCAATCGGGAGATTTCACAACAAAACAAATTTCTTCTATTTGCACTGCATATGCAATACACTAAAGCTCCATTTAGTTACTAGAAATGAATGAAATAGAATGAATTTAAAAAATAAATATAAAAATAAACTAAATCATTCTTTTTCTATTGATAAATATAATAAAATTTATTAACATATACTACAAATGTGAAAATCATCACATTCTCTAACAATCTCATGAATCATGATTCTCAACCACATAAACTAAATTACGCATCTCCCTTATGAATTTAATCATCTTATTTTGACTTTTATTGTTTTCAATCCATTTTATTCCATTTTTTTAGTAAACAAATGGTAATTTCTTTAGTATATACTGATGAGATCAAAGAGAGCAAAGCCGAGAACTATCATATACCATTTTCTAGTTTCTGCAACCAAACAAATTAAAGTAATTCCCTTGGTTGACATCCATTTAGAATCTCCTAGATATATAAAATAAAAACAAAACATGAAATAAAAAAATAATTTCAAAGATATTTATATAGAAATATCCTTGACATATGCTCCATACAATCCTTTATTAAGATGCCTTCTAAAAATAAAAATTGGTTCAAATTTTATGGTCCGTAGTCAAAATATTAAATTATTCTTTTTAATCCCTAGAATTTAAATCTTTCTTGTAACTTGAACAAGTATGGTGAAGCTTCCATTAATTAATAACGCTATAATTGAAATATTGTCATGTTTTTTCAAATTGAAATATTGAAGTTCCTTTAAACCTAATAATTTTTTAATCTGCATGAAAATTATTCGAAACACCTTATATAAGGCACAAGAGGAATTATTTTTTAAATACTTAAAAACGGTTACTATTAAGTTCTACTAACAAGACTACAAGAGTATAATAAATATCACCTACCGATCCTTATATAGTGAGAGAATCTTCCGTCTATATAATAGAAGCCATGGCACATGAATTCTAATTCAATATATCTTTATGCACTACATGTGATTCTCTTCGCAAGACTCATTTGTTTGATACCACTTATTTGAATAGGGAAGAGAAATTGGTCGGATTAGGCTAATTAGTGGAATCACGAGTTCAGTCAGGGTCATTATAAAAGTTTGTTATCAAATATAGAAAAGAAAAACGATCGAGTACACCACGAAGCATAAATATATAACTACAAAATACATGGAAGACTTGCATTTTTTTTTTTAAATTAAATGCCAGTCAGATTTTTCAATTCAAGTGCTAAACTATCCAGCGTCCTCATAGAGGAACCATCTTCTCCAAGAGCATTAATAGCAGCTTCTTTAAACACTTGAATTCTTTCGCTAATTACTTTTCCTTCGTCACCTTTCATTACACTCTTCACAATTCTAGAGACTTCCTCCTTTCCCACAATTCCATTGTTAATTTCATTCTCTGTCGGCCTTACAGCAATCTTCAATTCCTCAGTCAGTAACACTGCGTTCATTCTTTGCTCTGCAAACAGTGGCCATGCAATCATTGGCTTTCCATAGAACACACTCTCAAGCGTTGAGTTCCAACCACAGTGGGTCAAGAACCCACCAACGGAATTGTGTTTCAGGACTTCAATTTGTGGGGCCCATGATGGAACCACAAGGCCTTGATCTT